CCGTGTCTTTCTTATGCTGAGGGCTCCAGAGCTGGACGCAGTGCTGCAGGTGGGGTCTCACCAGAGCAGAGCAGAGGGGCAGAATCCCCTCCCTCGACCTGCTGGCCACGCTTCTTTTGGTGCAGCCCAGGATACGATTGGCCTTCTGGGCTGCGAGCGCACATTGCTGGCTCATGTCCAGCTTTTCATCCACCAGTACCCCCATGTCCTTCTTGGCAGGGCTGCTCTCCATCCCTTCATCCCCCAGCCTGTATTTCCTCAGACTGCAGTGGCTGATTTTCTTTAAGTCAAGTCTAGGGCTTTGGTAGAGATCTAACCAGTCTAGATATAAAATGAATGTTCCCAAAGTAGAAGTTCTGAAATTAATACTGCCCTTCTACAAGAAATGAAAGGGAATAGAGAAATTCAGCCCTCATTTCCTGGCTCTTGAATAAAATGTGAGCAAATTGAACTGGATTACTTTTGTGAAATCGAATGTTTTTCCTTGAGAACTAAGTTTCTCTGTTTGTAAACTGAATTGAAGCTTTACCTGCAAATGTCACTTCATGGATACCCAAAGTTTGATGAAAAACATGAGCGTCATAGATCCCATATGTAAATAACAGCTTTTCAGCAATTCAAGTGTCTTTAAATTGAATGAAACAGGGAGAACGCATAAATGCCTCAAACAGTTTCTTTATAGCATGATGCAGACCATTGCTGGTTTTTGACGGTTTCGTGGCTGGAGGTGTGTCTTTCCTCATTTGGTTGGGTTTTTTTCTTTTCTCTCATGCTGCAACTATAGTACATGAAGTATGCGACTTTAGCAGGGTTTCTCCAGTGTACTCTTAGAGAAGGACCAGTATCAAAATACAGCTTCCCAAATCGATAAATTCTTAATGGAAACCAGTGTGGGAATACTGATGTACTGCTGAGACTCTTTTCCTTCAGAAAAAAAAACATTTTTTTCATTCTTGAAATCTGCACCCTAGCAGGATGGTAGGAGAATAGTTAAAGTTTTTGAGATGAGAATGTAAAACTAGAAATTTTGACTGTCCTGTATTTTATTCTAGGAAACCTTTTAAACAGTCTGATGGGAACTGGAGAAGATGATGACACAGAAGATGGTCAGGAAGATAGCAGTCCTATCGAGCTCGACTGAATGTTGTTGTCATTGGGTGCCGTGTAAATCTGATGATTCGATGACTCCAAAGACAGTTTTGGAATTTGAATCCTGCAGTTGTTTCTTGGCGCCTAAAAGGGCTCCTCCGGTCTTTTAGAAATGGTTGCTGAAATGTTTATAATGTTCGGTCTATATTATTTATGTAAAAAAAGAAAGAAACCAACAAAAAGTAGCCAAACGAATGAATCGGAGCAATTGTTAGCAGGTTTCCGATACAGCGGCTGGTGACTTTGATTAAAATATAGTCTTCTATGGTTTCTAATGCAGTATTCCCTTTTGCACAGTAATTCAATAAAGCATAAATATGGGTCTTGTACTTCACGGCCTACCCAATACCACCTTTGTTACGAGAAAGCCTCCTTGACCTCTGCCACCTCCAAGGAAGATCTCGAAAGGGAGGGTGATCAATTGAATAATTTATTTGCGAGGCTGGTGCCAAAAGTACTGCGAGATGAGCCAAGCAGCATAATTTGAGATGCACATCCAAGAGACTGATACCAAGAACTTGCTTCCACTGCCGTGAGTAACATGCACGCCATTCATACTGCCTTTCACTCTCCTTAAGGTCTGGCTCGGGCCGAGCCCACGCGTGTGTTTAGCTGATACTTCCTGAAAAGCACAAGATTGAATTGCTCTTGAGTAAAAGCTGATCAGTGGATCACAGGTAATTGGCTTCCATGTGGATCTCTCTTGCCTAGGTATAAAAATTTGGCTCGTGGCTCTACTCCTTTGGAACAGATTCTTTTCCAGTGCAAGTTCACAACCATACGTAAAGGCAAGGGCGTTACAGTGAATGAAATGATTTGCCGCGAGCAACGTATGTGTTTGAACTGCAGCTGTATGTAAAGAAAAGGGATACTGCAGAACTTCTGGTTCTTTATGATATATTTATTTTTCTTGGGTGATTGATTCATTTAACACTTTCTGTAAAAAAGAAAAAATCAATAAATAATGAAGTAACTTCAACCCCAGCGGTAGGCATAGCCGTTCTACATCTCCTCCTCTAATGCAGCGCAGCGGATGTCAGTGGTACAGTGAACAGATGAAATGGTGGGGAAACGCTTTATTTTTTCACGATGAAAATAAAAAGGCTTAGATTAATAAACAGCAATCATGCATGGGGGAGGGAGGGATTAATAGAAATTTATTGACTGTATGAAAAAGAAAAGGCATTGAAAGGAAGACTGTGTTAATTGTGAAGTCTCAAATAAACACTTTATACCAGGATGTGTGATATTGCTGCTTTCTAAGAGTTTTATGAGCAGAGATCTTTCTTACTTTCCTTGCTATTTTTCCCCCCTGCCTCTGCATTTGACCATGGGTCGCTCAGACCTTAGTGCTGCAGCTTTACCTCTGTGCAGTAAGGGCATAGTTTTAGTCGGGTATTGTAATGTCTGGGGCAGGTGTAGATTGCTTTGATTTGCAGCAAGTTTAGGGAAGAACCCCCTACCTGGGATGATGCTGTAGACATTTAATAAATGATCCAGGACGCCGGCAGTGGGTAAGAGCCACGTCACTTCATGGCCTTTGGCTGCCAGAGAACGTGCCTGTCTTGGGGCAGTTTAAGGTGTCCACAGGTGTCTGGCAGCAACGGCCCCCCCCCATGTCCTGCATATATGGCTAAAAGTGAGTTTACATGTTCACCTCACCTCTGCCAGGTCTGGGCTGCAGCAACCTTGCATGCGCCCAGCCCGACCCCCAGCCCTGCCGGGAGGGCAGCACCCCAGGGCCAGGGACCCTGTGCTACTGCTGCTGGTCTGCTGCCGGTCGCGGGGCGCGGGCTGAGCCTGCAGTGTGCCCACAGGCAGCTGTGCCGCTGCCACAAGGCAGGTGTGGCCCTACGTACAAAACACATTCAATAATTACAATGGTAGATGCAGAATATATGTGTGTGTATAAAATACATCTATAGATACACACGTGTGTATGCACACACATATGAACAGCCTTTTGTGTATATAATAATTTATAATTAAATAAGTGTATAGCATATCATTTATAATATTAATACTCTTAATTATACACACACAGAAACAGTCTTTATAGCTAGCTATAAACACAAACAACTAGCCCAGCCTGTTCCCTCCCTGCTTCTGACACGCCTGGGTTTTTAAGTAAGTGTGAGTGACTGTGTGTGTAAAATACATATTTATAAATACTTTTAATATAAATTAAACATCTATCTAGCTATAGTTATGCATACGCTTATGCATGTGGATATATGTATGATGTTTATATGCAATACATTTAAATGTATAACATTTATAAATTATATACTTTATACCTATATACAAAGCATGCACAGGTGTATATAATAAATATTTTATAAATTTGCAATTATAGGAATGTCTCGATATAGACGTGCGTGTATGAAATACATTTTGCTTATATATTTGTAAATTAAATATATATGTCTAATGATAGCTACATATATACATGCCTGTGTTCATATGAACTATGTTCAGCTCATATACACACACACACGTGTAGTTTATATTATGCTCTATCTACCATGCACAGTTCATAGTTGTGTCTGTGAATAGTCAACAACTCATAGAATTTATTTCTACATTCCTAAGAAATAGCAATTTCTTTTGTGTATGTGTGTGCATACAGATATAAAATATTACTATATATAAAATACATACAATGTACACTATATAATACACACACACACACAAATAAGGATAATATAGATTATGTTATATAATATACATAAATATGTGTGTGTAGTTAGCATGAAATATATTTACCTGATGTACACACACACACACACGTGTGCAGCTCCCCTCCCCCCCCCGGCACTGGGCAGCCCTGGGGAGGGGGGCAGATGGTTTTGTGGGTGTCCCGCACCCCCAGGGCTCTGCCGGCACCCTCACCTACTTGTTTTAATTTGTTGTTTTTTCAACCCCATCTCGCCTCCCCTGCCCCAGCACGACACAGCCACGGCTCGGACATAATAATTTATTGGTTCAAATGACATTTAGTACCACAGTTGTCTTACCAGTGACAGAACGAATGCGTACAGCCGATGAGATGCTCTCATTTACACACACCAACGTAAGAAACACGTCGGACAGGTCAGTGTCCGGGGCTGGTACTTCAGCGGACACTAGAAATTTCATTTTTGGGTAAAAATCCAGCACATGGTGTGCAGGTCCCAGCCCACCTGCCCCGACTGCCGGAATTACAGTGCTCAACACAGCGCTGAAACGTCAAAAAAATCAACAAAAAAAATTAAGAGAATTATTGGGGGGGGGAAAAAAAGTGCAACCACCAGTTTGGAGAAGCAACGTGCTGTCGGCCAGGGGGATGCGCCTGCCGGGGGGGGGGGCAGGAGGGGCTTTTATGGTGCCTGTCAGTAAAACTGCACCTAAAGCTCAACCCTGTCCAACCCGCACTGGGCTCCCGAAATAGGGTGAACCCCCCCAGACCATGAAACAGGAACCTGGGGAACACGGGCACAGCTGGACAGTGACCCTAAAATCTTTGCTCCCTTGGCATTGCCTCGTGGCTCCGTGTCCCCCTTTCCCTTGCAGGGCCCCAGGACTGGGGGGGGGCAACGCTGCTCCATCTGCACCGAGCACCCCTTCTCTGTGCCCTTTGTTAAGAAGATAACGAGGACAAGGCCAACGATGCCAATTTCCTCTATTTCTATTCCCGTCTGACCCTGGCCTGGGTACAGCATCACCACTGCTCCCCAGGCGAGGTAATTTACCTATCGTTTGCCCCGATGCTGTCGGGAGGCTCAGCCATTTCGCACATCACCATTTCGGGTGTTTCCAGGTTGGTGCTTCGCATCCCACGAGGATGTCACCGCTCAGGGACTCGCAGCCCCCTGGGGAAAGGGCTGGTGGAGAGCCGGGGCTGCGGGGATGCCCAGCTCCAGCCTGCATGGACCAGCTCGTGGGGAAAAGCCCCATCTCCCCCCGAGACACGCCACCAACAGTCTTCGCCATCCCGCCGAAGCCGGGTGGGACACCCCTTTCAGTGGGTGTGGGGTGACGGGGTTGCGGGGACCACCCGTCCCCCAGCAGCGCAGCCACAGAGCCGAGTTTCGGGTTGGATCAGCATCTTCTCCGACGTTTCGCTGCCACCCTTCTTGGTTTCTGACATGATCAAGTGAATGATGAGGGGAAAGGGACGTATTATTATTATTATTACTGTTATTATTATTATTATTCATTATTTTTAACATTTCAAATAAAACCATGTTGTGTTGTAAACAGAAGCTCACTCCTCAGGTCTGCCCAGCCAGTCCCAGCTAAGGTTTATGTTTGAAATGGGCTTCCACTGAAAGAAAAAAACAGAGAAAATAGAGTTAAAACCAGGACACGCACTGGCAGGCGGCGACAGCCCGGCGCAAGCCCACCCTGCGGACGGTCCTTCTCTTGCCGATGCTCCTTGGCTCCGATTATCCTTATAACTGGGTGACCGACCATCCTTATAGCACCGTGGACATCAGGCCAGAGGCGATGAAGAGGGAAGGATACCACCCTCCTCCCAATGTGAGTCCCTCTCTGCTTGGACAGCCTTTGCATCCTCCCCCGGGCGGGGAAGGGCTGCCCCGCTCACACCGCACGGGAGGGAGCGATGCTGCTGCATCCCCAATCCTTCTCCCACCATCCCATCCTCCAACGCACAGGAAATAAACGGGCCGAGGCTGACCTCCAGCACACACACCTGCATATTCCTGAGGCAGCATCGGCCGGCTTATAACTTTCTGAAAAGTCGTAATCCACTCCAGCTGGTCGTCCTCCGTCTCGCAGGCGAAGAGGAATTTCCGATCCGGGGTGACGATGGTTATCCCGTGCTGCCAGTGGTTTCCTTGCGTGGACGGCGGGAGCCCTTCCAGGACCTTGTAGCTGTTTTCCTTGCTCCCAATAAAAACTTCCCCTCTAGCAAAGGCATCCTAGGAGGCAGTGGAGCAGTCAGGCAGGCACGATTGTGAAGGGGAGCTCTGCGTCCCAGGCAGCCAGGACACGGCTCACCCTGCACCATCCAGAAGCCCCATCAGCAAAGTGCAATAGCCAAACACCGAAAGCACCAGCCACCCCTCGAAGCCTCACTCCAGCTCCTCCCAGGGGCACCCACGATATGGGACGAACACCAGGGATCCAAAATTCAGCTGCAGAAAAATCTGCAGCTGATGCACAGGGTTTCCAAAGCATTTTTGGTGAATATCTGTGCATGGGGCTACTGCACGCTGGACACCAGGCAGATCCACCGAGCAGTGACAGCTCAGTGCCCTCTTGGCTCTCCCACCAGCCTGAGCTTCACTGCATACTATTATCATCATTATTATTATTATTATTGCAGATAATTCCCAACAGACAGCCCAGGCACCTTCAGCTTACCAGGGGATCTTTGAAATACATGAGCCGTCGGTCATCCATGGTGAACCATCGCTTCTTGAATCCCTCTGTTTGCTGAAGAGTCAGAAAATGTCAGATCACACACCAAAGCAGCACAGCTCCTTGCTTACCGGGCATGACCCAGGAGTATCAAGGCACTCGGAGGAGCCCAATGGGCTGGGGGAGTTGGGGACAGGCAGCTTCTGGGCCACCGCGAGCCACCACAGCCAGGCTCTGGGCCAGCTATACCAGGTAAGCTTGCAGGAATGGGCAGTGAGAGGGGAGATGGAGTGGTTGGTCTGTGAAGTGGTTCTGGATTTTTTAACGTTTGCTTCCAGGTGGGGAATGTGTATTAATGCATTCACGGTGTTAAGGCTTTGCCTCTCCGGCGAGGGTGGGTTTGTGCCACCGGCAGACCCTTCTCAGCACCATACAGAGCAAGACTCGTGTTTAGAGGGACTGCAGAAACATTTTATATCCTACCTTTGGCCCAGTTTTCTCCATGTACCCTTCCTTCAGGTAGTTTCTAGAAAGCTTTGGCACCAGCTGGAGCAACCAGAGAGAAAAGAGAGCAGCGTCAGATGGAGGGAGCTGGGGGTGTCACCAGGTGCGTGGGGCTGGGCTGGGGGGTCACTGGAAGGAAAGCCCACGCCGAGCTCGCCCCCGGCCCCAAGCCCACCCAACACAGCTCTGGCTGAACATTTCGGTCCCACTTCTCCAAAGTCCTCAGAAGAGGCGGGTGCAGAAACATGAAGCATCTTTGAACACTGCCAGCAAAGCAACCAGCCTCCAGGAGAAGCCCCTGGGCCAAATCCCACTTCACCAGTCAGCTCTGGTGATGCATCTCCTCCACCAGACGCAGTTGGAGCTCCTCACGTAAGCCCCAAAGTATAATTTGCCTTTAAAACCCCATTAACACACGCTGCCTGCGCACTCCCCCTTCCTGCAGATATTGCTGACAACAGTTACCAGCACCAGGGATATTTTTAACGCTGCTTAGTGAAGACAAGCCTGTAGCTGCGAGATCTTTGCAGATGCCTCTAAAAGCCTCATGAGAGATGATGAGTCTCACCAAAAATGGGGCCGACAAGCCTGGCCAAGCGCCGCTCTGCCTCCCTGCCCCTGCTCCTGCCTTTCATTTAAACAGGTTATTAACGGCTCCACTTGCCAAACTGCACTCCTGCAACACCTACCTCTGCCCAACAGCAGCTCTGGTCAAGCAGGCGTGTGCTTGTAGGGCAAAGACACCCCAAAATACAGCAGCCCAAAGAATCACACAGCCGCTCCACAGCGGCTGGGAGCACCTTCATTTTGGACACTTCGTCGCAGGCAGCAAAGGGCTCTGCAGCATTCGTAGCCCCAGCATTTGGTTCCCAGGACAAGGCTGAGGACTCTTTGCTAAGCAAGGAGCTCATCACCCTCAGCTCGGAGAGGTTCCTCCACCCTGGAGACGTGTCCCCGAAGCATTCTTTGGAGAGCCTCACTCCCTGGGAGCTGCAGAGGCAGCCTGGGCATCCTTAGGGTGGTGTGAGCAATTTATACCTCTCTACTGCATTTAACCTGGCTCCTGTTTAAGTTTAACACCTTTTCATCTCTCTGGCAGGGAAAAGGAACCACAAATTAGATGCAAATGATGGCAACACCCAGGACTGAGCTACCTCGCGTACATAACGCAATCTCTGCAGAGTTGTCCCCAAGCTGAATGCTCCAAGGGGTTGTGCTCATGAATTAAACCTCGCTAAACGTTACACTCCTCTGTTTTCCCCCAAAGAATAACTGATGAGAAGGAGATGATAAATAGAAGTATAAATAGTTTATCTCCCATTGACACTGTCAGGGGGGGAGCATGTACACCCTCTCACCAACTGCTGGACAAATGGCAACTCTGTTAAGGTCTGTGGGGTTTTTGGGGGCAATTTGATTCAGATGTGCCAACCAACTTTAACAGAAGTAGAGGATATGGAGAGGGGGATAAATGATTAAGGAAAGTATATGCTGCACAGCAACTGTACTATAGCCGGCTAACAAGGCTCTTACGGTTTTTTCGTATCTGCCCAGTTTAACTTCTTATCAGAAAACGGTCTGAAGTCCCTCATGCCAAGGATCACCAGCTGTAGGACCGTTCTTCTTTCTCCTCCCCTCATTCTCCCCAGGGATTAGGATGATCTGGGGCAGCTGATGTTGGTGCATGGGTCCAACAGGAAGGGTTTGGCTCCAGTGGGTCCTTGGGGTGCATGGGTAGCCGCAGGACAGAGCCACCCTGCAGCCCAGAGCCAGCCCCCAGACCACCACTGGACCCCTCCCAGGTAATTAATAGAAGGCAGGTAATGCAATTAGATTTCAAAATCTACGAAGTCAAGGAGGTAACAGAGTAACCAACAACAACAAAAAGTCCAGAACCAGTGACATTACACAGCAATTGCAATACAAGACACTTACTGTCAGCTTGCACTAATACAGCCTCTAGTATTATATTAGCAAAAGATAATGCAATTAGCAGTCCCAGCTCCCAGAAAATGCAAGGCAGAGATTCATAAGACAGGCTGCATTGGCCTGCACACAAGAACTCATCCCAGAGGCTTGGATACGGCACTGACACTCTTTTGCCTTCAACTTTTCTACCTTCCAGCCTTTGTTTCAGCTTTTGATATTACAGCAATAATCCTTAAGAAAGACACTTACGGCTTCTGTACGCGTGACAGCGCTGGAGTTACTCATACGCACGACTCACATTTTGAGTGTGAACATGTGCATGCACACACACGCACGGTTTCCAAGGCTGGATGTTGGTAACAGGTGCTGCACGTGGGCTCTACAGCCCACCACAATAATTTCAGCCCAGTAACTGTAAAACACTCTGAAGGATGGAGCACTCTCCAAGCCTTCCAGCTTGGTAACAAGATGCTAAAAATGAGCAAGAGAAGAAAAAAAAAAAACCAACCACAGGAAAACTCACATCAACGTCGCTGGCTCCAGGGAATGCCACTTGTAAGTAATGAAAACGTGCTGCCCGGATGGCGTTGAACCAATCCACTATTTCCTAATAACGAGAAAGAAAAGCATAGTGAGTAACGTAGCCTGCACATAAAATAACGTGATCCTGCTGCGTTTCGTCTCTAGAGAAGAAAAAAAAAACCCAACCACAGGAAAACTCACATCAACGTCGCTGGCTCCAGGGAATGCCACTTGTAAGTAATGAAAACGTGCTGCCCGGATGGCGTTGAACCAATCCACTATTTCCTAATAACGAGAAAGAAAAGCATAGTGAGTAACGTAGCCTGCACATAAAATAACGTGATCCTGCTGCGTTTCGTCTCTCCCATCACTTTGTCCCAAGTGACAGGGTGCAGTTTAGCGGCAGTCCTGCTGGCTCCAGGGAATGCCACTTGTAAGTAATGAAAACGTGCTGCCCGGATGGCGTTGAACCAATCCACTATTTCCTAATAACGAGAAAGAAAAGCATAGTGAGTAACGTAGCCTGCACATAAAATAACGTGATCCTGCTGCGTTTCGTCTCTCCCATCACTTTGTCCCAAGTGACAGGGTGCAGTTTAGCGGCAGTCCTAAAAAAAAAAAACAATACAGACATAAAAGAGGGCAGCAAACGGGTGAAGGATGGGGAACATCCAGCCACTGTCCCAGGCTTCAAGACATGCACGGAGCTCTGCAGACCCCAGTGAGCACCAAGGGGCTTTCTGCAGAGGGAAGGATTTAAGCATGTCTCTGAACTGGCAAAACCAGCATCAAATCAGGATTTGAGATATCGAGCCCAGCATTGAGTTTGACCCTATAAACATTGCTCGGCTCGTGGTGGCTGGGTGCAAAGCCAGCCCAACACCCCTGCAGCCAGCCCCCTGCCTGCCCGGTCCCTCCGGCAGCCACAAGCTGACTGTGCGCAGGACATGAGAGGAATGCCTGAATCCCACCCAAATTTTGAGGCCTTAGCAACATATTTCAGTGTTTTGCTAAAAGAGTGGCCAATTGTCTGTTTATCTTTGTACTCCAGTCTATCAGTCACATCCATGAGTCCTCTAGGGACAACCACAGTGACACTGAAGTCCCAGCTCAATTCCCAGATGCTCTGGCACTTCTACCTCTCCTTGCCAGAAATCTCTCTCTGTTTTTTTGGTGGTTTTTTTCCCTCTGAAATAGTTGCTTTATAACTTACTTGTTTTTAAACTCATCTGTTCATTTGTCTCTGGTGAGACCCTCAGACCTTGTGCTGCACTGGGTGCTTTTTTGAAGGTTTCACTGAGAAATGCCACATTAATTTTAAGTAAGTGATCTGCACAGGGAGCTCCCAAATAACTGCCTTGTGGCCAAAAGGTATGGGCAAAGGAAAGGCATGTTGGAAGGGAGACGTAACAGCTGCCCACACCGGGATGCTGAGCTGCGGGGAGATGGATGCTGAACTATCCGGCTGTCATTAACGCACATTAAGCTTCACACATCAGGGACAGGTTCAATGAGCCAGACTTGATCCTAAAATAAACACTGTCAAGCTTTCAGGTGAGGTTGCTGTAGCGTAGGAAAGACCATATCAAAGTAGAAGTCGGCCTTCAATAAGATTTAAAGTTTTTTATGCTTCAAAAATGATTTTGGCGGGGGGGGAGGGTTTTTTTTTTGTAATTTTTTTGAGATCTCTTTTAAGGAGTCGAATTTGAGGTGTCTCAAAAATGGTCTAACGTGGCAAACAGCCACCCTTTAAAAGTTCAAACGCTTTGCTTTGGCTTGTTAATCTACTTCAAGTTGAAGGGAAAAAAAAACCCCAAACCCGTAATAGGACATACACAAACAGTGTTTTGGAAAACTCTGACCTGCTTGTCTGAGGTTTTACTTACTTATCACTTGCTTTCCTATGCTAAGCAGCTAAGCAGACCCCAGATAGCAGCACAAAGAGGATCAGCGAGTGGAACTGGCTCCTGAAGTTAGTGATGACCAAACCAGGCTGGAGGTAATGAAAAATAAGCTGTAACATTAAAATGTTGATATTTCGTACAGTCACCAAGTGGATGGCTATATATATATATATATGCAGGTCTCCTCCTCGATCGTGATGCGAGACAGGGTTTCACCCTGCAGAAAAGCAGAGGCTGAAATCCTCATTGACTTCCAACAGTCGATTTCTTCTCGGAGTATTGATCGTCCATCGCTGGAGGAAGGGGCACCACCACCTTTCTTTATACAAACCTGTACCTGCCTATGGAAAGCCAGAAGGCTCAGTTGCTAAATTTTTTCTGTGTGTATAATTATGAACAACGCCACAGATAGAGCGAGGAGATTATATCTGATGTATTAAAAATGTATTAAAACAACATTAAACTGCTCAGTGTTTTCAGATGGGAAGGTGTCATCTCATTAGCTCCTTAGCAGAGATTCCTTTCACTGATTTATGTCTCAGAGCAAGCAGAGAAAATGAACTACTGCCTGCACCTTTGCAAATGGCTTTTCCAGGCTCTCAACTTCCTCCTGGTCTGCTTGCAGTGCCACCGCAGACTCCCCCTCCGCATGTCACCTTGGTGTCTCTCCATCCTGCACCAGAGCCACCCACATTGCCGTGGCAGTCTCAGACTGACAACCCCAGATAAAAATGCAACTTCTTCTCACTGTACCTCCTGCTTATCAATCCCTGGGGCTCCAGGAATGAGCCCCTCTGTTACAACTCCTGCTGCTGATCAATCCCCTCACGCCACCTCTTCCCATCCTGAAAGCTTCTGGTGTGGCTCAGGAAAGGAGGAGCACTGGGGAAGAGCTTTTTGCTAATTTGTCCAGAGAATATCCAAAGATCTTGATTTGCACCCTAAAGAGTGGCCTTTCCTGGAGATTCAGCCCACCTCTGAGCATCCTAAGGGCGATGGTAACACCACGGATGGCAGCAGCACGCTGCAGCTTTCCGAGCTGCTCCTGCTGTGGCTTCCAGGAGAAGTCCTGCAGAGGGAGCTTCAGCCCCAGACAGGAGCTCAGAGCGGTGGGAAATCCACTTCTGCAGCTTTCCTGCCTCCCACGCCCAGATGGAGGTCTGGGGGCAGGTAAAGGCTGGTTCCAGCCTTGTGCCCACGGGAGGGACAGCCTCCGCAAGAAGCACCAGTTCAGGTGCCTCCAGGACACGGGACAGTCTACACGGAGGAGTCACCCCACGCCGAGAATCAGTCTCGAGCTCCGACGGGTGCCTCAGCTTCACCCCGGCTGGCTCAGTATGGCTGGTGGCGGGTAAGTGCTAACAAGGGACCGCAAGAACATCCTTTAAAATGGTCACAGCCCAACACACATCTTGCCCTGCCCCTCCAGGTGCCTGCTGTTATTAGACACACACATCACAAAAGCACCCAGATATGCCCATTCTGAGCAGGGTGCTGGGGCTGGTTTCAGTCTCTCGTTTGCCGTCAGGACACGCCGAGGAGCTGATGAAGCCACCAGGCTGAGGTCACGCAGGAAATACATCTCCAGCCAAGTCGCATGATGCTATCCCACCCCGTGAAGCTCTGGGGCAGCAGCATGGCTACCTGCTTCGTCCGTCTGTCTTTTGTCCCTTTGGGTCCCTTACTCCAGCAAATGCCGCTGGGGCGGCAGGGCTCTCCCAGCAGTTTTAGGGGTTGAATAAGCACACGTGCGGTTATCCCATCCGAGAGATAAGCCCGCTTTCTTCTGGGGTATTGCAGCAGAATAGCCAAGCGGAGAACAGCATGAGATGCTCTGGATTACTGCCGAGCTCCTCAGCGGAAAAAAAACCAAACCCAAACCCTGCCCTGGTGGGAGGCCAGCCAGATCAGTGACAGGATTAGGCGCAGAGGGGTCAAACCCCAGAAATATGAGACAGGAGCCTAAGTCAGGCTCGAGCACTTTGGATCAGGGAGAGGCAGCACCTCTGGGGTACAAGGGGACACTCTGGGCCTGCTGGGGGAGTACGGGAAGGAGCAAAGGGCAGCAGGGGACCGCAGGTGAGTCCCGGGGCTGCCTCCGGTCCCAAAGGGTGGTAGCTTACCCCAGAGGGTGTGATCTTCTTGCAGCCCTCGCTCAGCCAAAGGGGCAGACCAATTTCAGGGAAGTCAAAAGAAATTCAACCAGGGCGTTATCAGATGGCATCAGAACACGTCCTGCCAAACCACCGACACGAAGGCAGGAGCAACCACGTGAGACCTGCGAGACTGCTCCTTCCATGAGCCCCCAGCAGAAAGCTCAACATTTTAAACCCAAAAACCAAATAACAGTAAAGCCCTGACTCCGCTCCTTGCAGCTGGGCTGAGTGGACCACCAAAGCCCAGCAAACCACAGACACAGGCACGACAGTGGGATGCAGCTTTCACAGGAAAGAGCTTCTTCCTCTTATTTCGGTTTAAATTGTGGCCAGGGAGGTACCTGAGAGCGACCCACGTGATACTTTGCTGTGCTAAAGCAGCATCTGGTGATGAGCGGTGCCTACTCCACGCCATGAGACTTGCATATCCCACCAGGCGGAGCGGATGGAGGAGAGGGTAAATTCGGGAGCAGCCCAGCCAAAGCAGCTCCCCAGGACCCTCAAACACATGGAGCGAGACCCTGTGGTGCTGCAGGGTGTGAGAGGCCAGGGCAGGCTGACCATCTGTTATGCATGTCTATTATGTGTATATATGCATGTGTGTGAATGCATATTACATGCACATTTCTGTGCATGTACAAAACCAGGCGATGCCACTAATTAACCCAACCTGATGCTAATTTCCTCCTGCCAGGAGCGCCTGCACTACACAGGAACCGCATCCAGCCTCTGCAGCGCAGCCCTGCGAGCACGACAGGCATCATCCAGCTCCACCGCACCCGGAGCCTGAGCGGCAGCAGAGGCGAGATCAGCTTTGCTCACCCGCAACTGAAGAATATCTTGGGTTTTGGTGGCATTATTGGCTTATACAGTCTGGAGAGGAGCGACTCTTCTATGAGCACAGACTGCTTATCCCTAGCAGGGCTGCCTGGCTCGACGTGCCTGGGTGAACAGCTGGGAACGGGCTGTGCACCAAGACAATCCCGCAAATCCCTGCCGTGCCGGTCCATGAGGGATCGCCCCCAGAAAGCCTCTCTGACAGACAGGGCGCTGAACAGGATGTAACGTCAAAGGGTGAAAGCACCACGATGGCCAGAGGAAAGCAGATGTGACGTGAACATGACAGCTTTAGGCTCTGATTTTGTGGCCACTCCAGGGCTGCTGATATTTTATGGGGAACCCCAAATATTTGGGGGAGGGAAGAAAGGAGGAAAGAGATGAAAGTAAGGCTGTGAGATGGCACCCCTGCAAACTCACCCCGGTCTGCTCTCTGCATGGACACCAGTCCATGGAGACAAGACCCACGGGGCAGCGTGGTGACTGCCGCTGTTCTTCACGGTGGCCCCACAGGCTGGGTCCCCTCTGACACTCTCCAGGAGGGCTGGGACCCCCCTCACTGCCCTGGCCTCCGTGCCCTGCTGTCCTCCTGTGGCAAACGACCACCCCAGACCCATGAGCCCTCTTCTTCACACCTCCCTTCAGAGGCACGAGGGCATCGAAGCAAGGGGATTTATTTCAATACAAACATGCAGATTTGCCTTTTAGAAAGTACAAGACAGGCAGAGAAACAACCAGTTCCTCATTTCTCCCACAATCCAGTTTGCTCCCCTTTTGCGAGTCCTTAGATCCAGTCTGCTCACCTTTCGTTGCTCCATTCACCCCGTCTCCTTCTCCGGGCACCAAGGGGCCTGTCTTAAAAATGTCTCTGCCCCTACATCTAGTTGCAAGCAGAGGAACAGCAGTTCCTTCCATTTGCATCTCGTTATTTAGAAGACATGGTTTGCAACCTTCTGGCTTGGAAGGACATGACAAACACGCTCAAAGCTGGTTGTGCATCCCGTACCCCCATCCCTCCCACATCCCCCAGCAATGCCCAGCTCAGTTAGAGCCTGGTGTGCCACAGACTGGCTCTGAGCAGCATCAACCCCCAGGACCACAGCCCAACACTTCTTGTTACCTCCGCGCTCTCACCTTGCCATCTTCGTGATAGACAAAGATGTTCCTTGTGCTATTGTCCTTCAAGTAAGTGATCTGCAGTCCATGTGGGTTCCCAATTTTTGCAGGCTGGAAAGTCGCATTTAGATGTTCAATCTTCATAATTGCTTTGGGTTCTTTTGCCTGGAAAACACAGCTGAGTGAGCAAACACCTGAGAATTGGCTTTCAAACCAGAAAGCAGTTCACTTGGTCAGAAAAAACTCCTGATTGAGGCCATTAGCTAAAAAAAAACAACCCCCAGCCCACAAAACTGCCTGGTGATGAGATATCAGAGACTTTGCTCGGGCGGCAATAAGTGCTTTCTGCCAGCCTAGGAAAATGCTCTGCTCTTCTGTGAAATTCAGTAGAGTTCAAGGGGAGAAAGGTTTCAGCGCAGAAGCAAGATGGACAGGCCAGGTCTCATGATAGGACGTTGTGCTATAAAGACAAGCATCTTCACCATGCCTCCTGTCTCTGCCTCTGTTCAACTGTCTCCTGACCCCTAGGTCTCTTTACCTAATGATAAGTGACCGGCATTTACAGCGGGATGAGCACTATCAAAGAAGAGAGAAAACCACTCAGCCAGACATAAAAAATGCAGACCGCTAACTAACAGGCCAGGATGCTTTCTGTATCTCAAGCACCCACAGCCAGTTCATCCTTGCTTGAGAAGATGGCAGATTATCCCCCTTGCCAATGTCAGACCTGGGTGCTAGGCTGACACAGAGCACCATGCCCATGTCCCCACCAGTCCCATCCTCTCACATGAGCCATTGGCTTCTGACTCTGCTCCTCCGTTTGCCCTCCAAACTGGGTACTTTCTTTTCAGAGCGACAAATATACAACTTACAGCCCACCTCTTGGGTGGATTAGCTCAACGGTGAGCCTGGATCAGGCCCTCCCAGGCACCAATCCCACCTGCACCCTCTGTGGCAGGTCACTTGAGCTTTATAGCTCGGTTGTCTTCCTACAAAACATCTCTAGAAGTTTACCACCCTTTCAGGACTGCACTGAGAAGTGAACTAGCAAGCGTGAATAAAACATCCCAAAAAATAAAGATTAGACTCTTGATAAGACCAGTTTCAGGGCACAGCCAGGGGCCAGCAGAAGGTCGTGCGGTGGTGCCGTGGTCCCCAGCACCACACGGAAGTCCCTGAGCTGGCGGAGATGCTAGCACTGCTTTGGGAACTTGGGGACTTGCCGTGGACACACAGCTGCCACGGGTGACCACAGTGGGGAAATCCCAGCAAAGAGGACACATCTAGACAGCACCATTTCCACCACAGCTATGGTCAACAACAAAGCAAAGCAGCTTTAAACTACCGGAGCAGTCAATAGTGACTGAATGGGGGCTGCTGGGACTTTCACTTCTCCCTTGGTAATGACTGGCTCTCTCCTGTCCATGAGATGCAATTGCACCACACCAAGCTGAAGGAGAAGACAGCACTATCGAAGCTGGTCACCAGGCGTGGAGAAGTGTGGCTGGATTAACAGGATTTAACTGTGGCTGGATTTAACAGGCTGCCCAGGGAAGTAACAGGCTGCCCAGGGAAGTGGTGGAGTCCCCATCCCTGGAGGTATTTAAAAGACGTGTAGATGAGGCGCTTAGGGACATGGTTTAGTGGGCATGGTGGTGTTGGGTTGATGGTTGGACTCGATGATCTTAGAGGTCTTTTCCAACCTCAATGATTCTATGATTCTATTCTATGATGTTCACCTCCTCTGCACGGCGTGGCTCATCATGACACCACAATTGCATCAACTACTTGAGAAAACTGGCTGGTGGCTCAGCCTGCGCTGCTCTCAGCTGCGATGTTCAGGGGAGACTCAATGGTCAGAGAAAACACCTTGGCTTCCTCCATTACGTGGTGCAGAATATACACCAGAATAGTAAAGCGTCTATCCATTCATCACAAATGCAATTTTCATGGTAATAGCTCCATTTCTCACTTACAATAAATGAAATGTGCTCTGGGGAAAAAGACAAATGCTTCCACCGCTTGACGCTGGAACAGAAAACCAGGGGGCTTTTCCTCTGGATTGCTTGCCATGCCATGCAAAGGAGGTTTCAGACCCCAGTGACCACTATGAGGTGGTGATACCTTCATCACAAGCTACTCACAAATATGAAACCCACGTCAGCTGGATGATGCAGAGCCAGAGCTGAGAAAAACTCCCTTCATTGGTGGTTTAAGAAAAGCCTTATTGATTCAACAGAGCAGGAACGTGTAAAATGGCCAGTTAGGTGGTCTCACCATGACAGTGGTGGTGGACCGAGAGCAAACCCTACTAAAAACACCGGTAAGCTGTACCTGGCACCCTTGTCCTGGAGTAATCAGGGACTCAATGCTTATGAAAGCTGTAAAACTATAAATAAAATGGTGGCCTAGGAATTACTTGTTCGAAGATGCTCTTACAGTTGCGGTCCCCCGTCCACATACAGCAATCCCAGGTACTCACGTCATTTTTGTTGAAGTACTTCAGTGCACCTTCCCTCTCTGATAACACGAATTTTCGGCTTAAGAATTGCCCGTTGTCGCGTCCTCTCTTCCACAGAAATCCTTCTCGGTACCCTGCAGCAGAAAGCAATTGCTGAGAACCAGGGATAAAACACTGTATTTAAAAAAAGAGATAGGGTAAAGAAAAGGAGAAGAGCTTCGACTTTAAAACAAGCAGACCGAATGTGTGGCTGGGTTGCTCAAGACATGAACAAAACAGGCCTTCTCCTTCAGATTTGCCCTTCTCACTCCACTCTTGCTCTTTTCCAACAGCTTGAGCTTCACAGATGTCCCCGCTCTGACACCGCAATGTGGCAGGCAAAGGGGGATTTCCACCGTGCATCCCGCGCCACAACACAGGCAAAGACTTGAGGAGCAGGGCTGTGTCCCTGCCACAGCTCCCAGCACCAGGGATGCTGCTCAACTTACTTAAGTAGCGCTTTTGCAGCAAGGGAAAGGCAGGTGAGATCTGTTCTCCTGTGTTGATGCTGCTAAAAAATTAAAAACGGGGTGTGTGCATGCAGGGAAAGTCATTCAGGGCGGATGGCTGTATCACAGCAAGTCACAAATAACGTCTTTCACACGGAAAAAGCGGAAAACGCTTGCAGTTCCTCCCACTGACTTCAGGGCACTTTGGTTCAGAAAGCCACTGAGCCAGACTGGGCATCCTCTCCCCGCAGAGCGGGTCCCTCCAGCCCCCAGGCACTGCGGCCAGGCAGCCCGGCTGGCCGTGACGTGCCTCTTCTCTCTCCCTGGGTATCAGTCCCACGGGTAGATTCGCTGCTTGGGAAGAACGCTATTCAAAATACACGTGCTTTATTTAAAACTCAAAAGAGCCAGAGAGAGAGAAAAAAGAATCTAAAAATCTTAACTCCTCAAATCACAAAAGCAGTTACAGCTGATCACTGCCAGCACCTCCTGCAGCCTGCAGCAGCCACAACATATTTCACAAGTTTAATTGACGCCTTTATTTTAAATGCTTCAAAACAAAGAAACTCCAAGAACTGTCCAATACAAGTTTTGTGAATATTAACAGAGCAGTTTGATGGCTGTCTTCCATCTATTTAAGATATAGTTATACAAAATTTCCATTGAAAAAGTGTTAGATTTCTCTCTTAGTTTCACACTTGTTAAGATTTTTGTTATTGGCTCTCAGGAGCTAGGATTTTAAAGTTAAAAATTGTATGTTTTGTAACAACTTTCAGCTAAGTAACTAAAGTTTTTTAATATGCGAAATGGCTCTGGAATCAGCGGGCAGCCTCTCCTTTGCCTGCCTGCTACGAACCAGTGGTGTGCAGAAATTCCTCATTCAACCTGCTTTTCACTTGTCCATCCTGATATAGGATTGATTTAAACCACAGATGAAAAGATGCAGAAAAATCCCTCAACCAGCTCCTCAACACTGACTCTATAGGTACAAGCAATATAAAATGTTTCCATGCCATAAAAACCTAAAGCACCAGAAAACACACACAGACACACATTTAATGATCAGAAAAGACAGGAAGAAAAGAGTGATGTTGACAACAGCTAAAGATGCTAACCAAAGGGAAAGCGCTCATCTAGCTAAATGTACCTTTGCTGATAGTCAAAATACCAGTTTCTTCTGTCTGGACTTACGAAACTCTAAGTCAAATACTTTCTCTAGATCCTCAAAGAGACCTTTACTGAACGCCAGGCAAAGCCGTTGACGTCTGCCATAAATGAGTGCAACGGCAAAGCCCGTGCTGCTGCTAATGCTGAATGCTAACCGCAGAGAGCACCATAAATCCGACCGACGCATCCGACGGCTGGCACGCGGGACTGCAAACAGGCTGATAACTTGATGCAGATGGAAGCGGTGGAAATATTTAAAGCTGTCAGCAGGCTTTCCTTTGTTTCTTTGTTCTATATGGGGCATATGCTGCAGCAGGGCTGTATTTTAAAATGCGGGGCCTCACCCTGCCCCCCAGAATGGGTGTGCGCTGCCACCCAGGAACCGGCACAGGTGTTTTCCATTCAGAGCCTGCAAGGATACCCCCTCATGCGTTATTTACAGCTCGCTCGCACGAGAGAGCCAGCACAAGCAGAGCATGCACCTCTCCCCCCGTGAGATCCAGCAGTCCCCGCTGCCTGCGCTCCATGAACCTACCGCTCCCTGCGGCCAGGCAGACCCAGCAGCAACCGAGTCCATGTCACTGCCCAGAGACACAAATGGGACAGCCCAAACCCTCAGTTACCCCACAGCCACGAACAACCGGTGATGCCACAGCACTGTTCCACCTCCGAGCCCTCCCCATCCCTCCAGTGCAGGACAAGTGCTCCACCCCACGCGGAGCACCATCACCCATGTGCACCGGCAGCTGTATCCACGTACACCAGCCCAGTAACCCGGAGGACCAATACCAGATGTATCAAAGGAATTTCAGGTCTGAAGCTCTTTCTCTGGTCCACCCATCCATCCACTGCTTGGAAGAGACTTCCCCAAAGCCACGAGCAGAATTGGCTAATTCAGTCCATCAATTCAATCCTATCCCAACTGTGGGCTTGCTATGTACTTTTTCTAGCGAAAAGACATGGCTAACCCATTGGAGGGCATTTACAGTGTCAGAAAGAAAAGAACCCACAGGGAGCAGGATTATCTGAAGTCTGAGCAAGGGGAAGCAGCCAAGAAAGCCACCGAAACCCAGCCAAGGGCAGCCGCATCCGACAACAGCGCGGGAGAGGCCCAGGCTGATGCACCCATATCACCGCCGTGGTAGGAATTAATTGCCGGGGAACCGAAGCTCTGACTGATTCAGAGTCAGATGCTGCTACCTGCCAGGCTCGTATCAGCAAAAATGCTACATACCCTATAGCAGGCTGTACATGAGGAGCTGAAGAGGAATAATGTCTCTCTGACAGGAGACAGACAGGCAGTAGGTGATGCCTGGCTGATACATTTATAAAACGCAAGATGTGAGGCAGAGACGCTGCCAGTGCTCTGACGGCTGGTGATTGCCGACTGCTCTCGAATGGCAAAACGTTAAGCAGCTTGCTCTCAAAGTGTACAGTTTAGAAACCAAGGACAGGCAGTTTCTGTTTCCCAAAGGGTGCCGGTTTTTAACGCCAAGCCAGTCGGAGCAACGGGGGAATACTTCAAAAGCCATTTCTATTCACTCCACTAAACGGCAGAGATGGCTTCAGAGCCTCTCCACTGCCTCTCCGTGGCTGACATTTGGGGAACACTAACGTCTCGTAGGGAGCTGGAGAGAGCTGGGTTTGGAGGAAAGGATGTCAGTGCCAGACAAGAGAGACGAGAGACAACGCGAGGAGGACATCTCCAAATGCAAACGCAGGGTGATGCAGAAGGAAAGGCGATCTTTTCCTTTAGAAATCCCCACCTGGGGTTTGCTCGGTTCAGCAGAGCGCTGGGCACAGAGAGCTCAGCTCTCGGCAGCTCCACGTCGGAGCAGCTCAGCTCCACGAGTTTTGGCTGTGGGCCTCATCCATTCATTCATCTTGAGTGTTTCATTACGAACATCTGAATGGCAAAGGATGCTGCAGGCATTCCTTATTAAACTTGTTCCCCTCCACAACACATTTTTTTGTGATTTTTCTTAACACTTAAGGGATGAAGAATAAAATTACTCTGCATTTCCCCAAACAGGATCTCAAATAATTGCAGATGTGTAACATCCACCTAACGCTTACCCCTGGCAGATGGGGATCGTAACAGTTATATACGAAGAGAGGGAAGCCCAGAGAGGTTTGGTGAGCTGTCCAGGACAACACTGTGAGCCAGTGTCAAAGTCAGGCTGGAAACCCAGCTCTCCCTGCCCTCTTACACAGGGACATTTCAACATTTTGATTTTCTCATTCCAACTTTTTGTGGCAAAATTCAGTATCCAAATTCCACTCCAAGGAAGAATTAAAAAAAACCCAACCCAACACTGTGTTACCCCTTTCCGTAGTTCACACGCCGGCTCTTCCCAGATCACCTCTGTAAAAGAGCGCCTGGCTGCTCTGACAAAGCCAGCAGCTAATTTCACTGTACTTTGATACAGATTTTCATAAATCCTTTGCTTGCTTCTTTTCTTTCTTTCTTCTTTCCTTCCTCCAGGGTTGTGTCCTCGGGAGCTGTTCCTCTGCTCTGCCCAAACCTGCTGCCTGCACCCCTGTCAATACCGATCAGTGCAAACGCCTCGGTAAAGAGCGCCTGGCTGCTCTGACAAAGCCAGCAGCTAATTTCACTGTACTTTGATACAGATTTTCATAAATCCTTTGCTTGCTTCTTTCCTTTTCTTACCCCTGGCAGATGGGGATCGTAACAGTTATATACGAAGAGAGGGAAGCCCAGAGAGGTTTGGTGAGCTGCCCAGGACAACACTGTGAGCCAGTGTCAAAGTCAGGCTGGAAACCCAGCTCTCCCTGCCCTCTTACACAGGGACATTTCAACATTTTGATTTTCTCATTCCAACTTTTTGTGGCAAAATTCAGTATCCAAATTCCACTCCAAGGAAGAATTAAAAAAAACCCAACCCAACACTGTGTTACCCCTTTCCGTAGTTCACACGCCGGCTCTTCCCAGATCACCTCTGTAAAAGAGCGCCTGGCTGCTCTGACAAAGCCAGCAGCTAATTTCACTGTACTTTGATACAGATTTTCATAAATCCTTTGCTTGCTTCTTTTCTTTCTTTCTTCTTTCCTTCCTCCAGGGTTGTGTCCTCGGGAGCTGTTCCTCTGCTCTGCCCAAACCTGCTGCCTGCACCCCTGTCAATACCGATCAGTGCAAAACACCATGAACTGGGCTTGAACCCAACATGAACTTGTCCAGGTTCCCCAGGCAAACAGTATGTCAGCATGACGCGTCCTCAATGTCCTGATCAAAAGATTTGTGAAAACAGCTAGAGAAGGTGCTGAGAAACAAAACTGTAGGAGGCTGAACAGGGAAACAGATCTCACACTGGAGGGCATCGGAGTCGGAGAACTAAACCATCTCTTCCTCGTCTCTGTGGGCTGCGCTACCTTAGCAACAGCTTTGTATTTAGAGATATCTGGCCAAATTCAGACCTTCATGAGAGCTGTTCTGCTTACGTTGAAGCAAAACGACCGCT